CAACTATTTATTTTACTTTTCAATATGTTTTTGTCAACTGGGTTACATTTGCATTTGTGCTTGTAAAGAGATCAACAAAAGGAATTTCTACAGTGTAGTCACGTGCACTGTATTTCATCTTCACTGAAATCAGTGGAACTGCTGCAGCTTTCTCGTACTTTTTAAACACATTTTTTGTCAGAAAAACAAAAGTTTGTTTTTATAATTGGTAATCTTTTGCATAATGTCCTGTGTAAAAACATGCCAGAAGAATGAATGTTTTTTCTTAACCTCCTACGGACCATTTTAGAAGTTCACTGTACTGTTTTGATAAATAAAGAATGAAGTGAAAAATGTATCTCAGTTGCAACATTAATTGAATATCATAAGCCCTATTACAGCAGTATGATTGCACAGTTCCTGTTTAATTGGGGATTGAATAAATGTTTTAACAGTCACTTTCATAACTCTGTATGGTGCTCATTCTCTAGTGGCTGAGCATTGGAGCTCTGCTGTTCCACAAATGACAGTCTTTGTATTGGACCTCCAGAACAAAGCAGAAGTGTGTGTGCTTATGCGAGTGTGTGCAAGTGCAAACATGCGCTTTGCATGTGCATGTGTGACGGTGCAGCACAGCTCCGTGGCAGGTCTGAGTGTAAAACTCTGCATTAACGAGCTCAGGCTTCGTTAGAACACCGGCGCTGGGATTCTGCATGCCTAATTATCTTGACCCCTCACCCCCGGGTGACAGCCTATCACAGTGGAGGACAGCCACGGTGACCCGTGCTGACCTCTCACTGTCTAGTCCTCTTCACAACACTAGCATAGCGTTAACATAACCACTTCAGTTGACCCCCCACCCCCCGCCCCTTGTATTGTAGAGCTGTGGTAAAGAAAAAGCAAATGGGAGGCTCAAACATTTGCCTGCTTATTTGCCTGATATGTGACAAAACCAGCAGACGAAAAATAGTTCACATCTATTAGCAATTCTCTAATCTGAATTAAACTTGTGCATCTTAAATAATGAAATTAACATGGAGTTAAACACATAATGGATCTGAAGTGGGAAAGAAATAATTAAATCCTAAATCTTTCATCAATATGAACTATTTTCAGTTTTCAGTATACAATATATTATACAACCAAAAAAAAATCTATTTACTGTATATCCCAAATGTAATGGTGGATGGTAGTTAAAAAAAATATGTACCTAATATATATAGATATAAAGTTTGTGCTGTTTTGGAATCATGTTTAAAAAATAAACAGGGTCTGACTTTGTAAATAGCTTACTAAAAGATGTTTTTTCTAGAAACACAGTTGTATTGTACAAGAAAAAAAAAAGTATATTTTCTCCACAAAATATCAGGCTCACAGCATTGGTGTCTTACTATTTCATGTTGCCAAGAGTAAGATAAGTGGTAAAAAGTGGGACAGTTTAGTTTTCATCACATTTTCTGAGAAAACGTTTATTTGCTTTACTTGATTGGCTACACAGTGCGAGTTCTGTTCATCTGAGGTTATTATAGTTTGTTTGACAGTTGGATTTATTGTGTATGGTAGAGTTTCCTTATATGATATGCTTTTCTACACTCAATGAAAGTTTTAATCCTTAAAGTGACCTTCCATCATTCTCTTATATGCTACTTTGGCCTCTCTGTTACCTTTCTAGTTGCAACTAGACAATAGAGAATTTCTGGTTGGCGCCTACTTAAAAAGCCTTTTGTGGGCTTTCAGAAAATGTGTAGCATATATTGTAATTCATTGCTTATTGTTGTGGAGGTTGCAGACTTTTTTTGAAGTGGTAGCCATAAAAGTTGTTTTGTCCAGTCAGAGTGATTAAAGTAGTCCCGAGGCCTTCAAAGGCTCCATACTTGTGAAACCAACACAGTCATACCAACCAGAGTTGAAACAGAACTTATGAAAGGATTCACATGTGCATCACCAATTATTTACACTTACATTATCGATGTGTACAGCATACAAACCCGTGGTTCTGTTTTTAGAGCAGTTCCACACAGTAAGATCTGTAGATCAAACTTAAATGTAATGTTTGGTAACAAACTTGTGCAGCATCCATATCCCCCTAAAACAAACAGTGCAGTGCCATTAGCCTTTACTCTTATTGCTTACTGCTGAATGAGAATGCACAGTGTCACACTGTAGTATAAAAACTAGAGTGGGTCTGACTGTAACTCTACTGTTACAGTAATGGTAACTCCGAATTCTTACACCGAAGAACCGAAAGCCTCTTCAGTCTGTGGTAAAATACAAGATCAATTGCATTATTGTAATATTGGGCTTTGTTTATATGGCTTCATATTTTTATTGCTGTTCTTTGGTATCATTATTCGATAAAATTACAGATAGTACTATACTGGTCATCTGAAAAGGCACATTAAAACAACATCGACATAGCCATGAAAACCGTGCACCATTACGCACTAAGAAGATGATATAATAATCTACTTACAGATTTAACAATGTGCGTATTGCTGTATTTTATTTTACAGAATGCTAAAAGCCACTGTAGTCAATTATATTTTATTTTATGAATGTTGGCAGGAAGTTAGTTCCACTGCTCATTTCTGCTTCCTCAACACATTGTCTGTTTGTGATGTACTCAGATGTACCTTTTCTACTACTCAGTGGTCATGACATTGCATTTGGCATTGGTGACAAAAACGGGAAAAATCTTGAAAAAAAAAATAAAATTCTAATAGGCTGAGCAGCATCAACTTCTCATTCTCAGAAACCAAATCATTTTTGTCCATCATAATCATTTTTATATTCTTGATATTCTTCCATGTTTCAAGCCACCCTCCGACTCTGTTTCCTGCAAGTGTTTTAACTTATACTGCTCCAATTCATCTCCTCTGTAATATAGTGTTCCTTTTCTTATTCACTTGACCCAATGTGGCCTAATCAACTCTGCAACAAAAAGGCCCGGCAGTGACACAAACGTAGGCACACGCACACAGACACATTATGTGAATTGATTAGCTTAGCTGGTCTGGTTACTGGTCGTTAAGAGGCCTCCAATTAAATGGGGCAATTATAAGAGTGTGAATGATTGGGGGCTGGGGTGGGGGGTTCCCGCTCCCCCTGTCCTTTACCTCCTCGTAGATCATATCCAAGTGATAACAGCACTGTTGACCTTTGCTATATTGTGAGTAACACATTCTGAGTGTTGACCCAACACCAGTCCTGCTGGAGGCAAGCGCTCACACTCAGACACGGGAATACCATCTGCTCTATGAGGTGGGGTGAACAGAAACTAAGAATTGAAGAAATAAGGGCAATTTAAGGCTGGATTTATTATTTAACCAATTACTAAAAGTCCTTTTTAATAACATATGTCCTGTTAAAGTATATTGTGTGTGTGTGTGTGTGTGTCATCACAAGCTAAGGAAAAATCACTGTTATCATATCATTGCAGGTGCTGGAATAAATATAATGACTATTAAGAAATTCATGACTGCTCCGCTCTGCAAGTGGGGCCAACTGAGACAATGCAGTGTAGAAATGAATGTTGGTGGCAAAGTGGATTTAAAATGCCTGAAAAAACTCAACTTAAAGCAAAATGACCTTCTTAGTCCATCCCAAAGCATCATGTACTTTCAGGCATACTAACGCTATCCGGGTAAACCATAATTGAGATGTTCTTTTTAGACTTGGCTGCCGCCAGTCAGTCGTAATAATGTAATCACGTGTGCTTTCGGTACAGAGTCTGTTAGCCATAAAAATGTAGCCAACAACAGTTGGATGCTGTTTTTTCATCCTGTTAGCCTTGGTGTATTGGTGAACAGCACAGTTACATCCATTATTCAGGAGGCTGAGATGGCAATTATGGCTCAGAGTACAACTGACATTAATATTTAATATATACGGCTAACACAGACCTGAGAGAGACACAGGAAGTGACAGAGAGAGGGGATGGACAGGGGTGCTGGGATGTAGAAGGAGTGGTACAGCGAAGTGAAGTGTGTGTGAAGAAGAAACAAGCAAAGAGGAGAATCAGGACTATTATGGCAGTTTGTTTCAGCCACTCTCTTGTCGTTTAAACTGTTACAATGCCAACAGGGCAGGGGTGACATCCGGGGGAATTCCAGCTTTGTGTGTGTGTG